TTTATTTGATGTGCAAATTTCTTGTGTTACTATTTAGGATTATGTCAATTGAGTAAGTACAAATTAAACGGGAAAATGGTTAAGCTGTCTTTTCGAAAGATAAATACAATGAAGTTAATCGTCGGTATGTTATTTTTAATTATTACAAATTTAGATTAACAAATTATAGTAAAATTTCTCAACACTTTTCTAGTTAAATTCTAAAATACGGTTTTATAGCAATGTTAAAATTTGAGTCAGCAGACATAGGTAAATATACTTCACATTAGCAATTTACATCATATTTTTTTAATTTTAGAAAAAATAAAATAAGTTACATTCAGAAAAATTAGAGGTAAAGGTAAGAAAATATTAAAAAATATATAAAATGGTTGCAGGAAACAATCATAAATGGTTGTAGGAGTTACTCATTTATTTGCCATATATACTTGTATATATGGCAAATTAGTTTATCTACATAAATATTTAAATTAAAATCTAGGTGAGTAACAGTTAAAGTTCCAAATAAACTTTGGTCACTAAAATTAAGACAAGAATAAAAAGCGTTACTTTATTCCAAACAACATTTTTGTTATTTTTCTAGCAACTGTTGCAAAGTCGAAAAAATATACAGAAAAAGATATCTAACATAGTATTTGTGAGACTTTAAAACACGCTCCATTGCGAAAAGGTGGTTTAAAAAATCCAAGTAATGACAACGATTAAAATGTCAAGAAATGAAATTTATAAATATGTTCCTTAAATATTGTTAATCATTTAATATTATTTAAATTAATCTTTTAATAGTGTTTAAAAAAATTTTTAATTTAATTCTTGTTTTTTATTTTCAAGAAATTGAATTTTTATAAGAGAAAATCTTAACTGCGTGCAATGCTAGTATAAAAGATTTTTTTTTAAAACTAATATTTTATAAGGGTAATAAACCTAAGAAGAAGCAGCTGCTTTTTCATTGCCCAATTATTTTTAACTAAACTAGTTTGTTAAACATACTAGTTTGTTTACTCCTCATAAATATTTCTAAATAACAATATTGTTATTTAAGTTAATTGTTAGGATTTCAAATTTAATTTACATTTTTAGCGCTTTCAATCTTTTATTAAATTGGTTCTGTAGATAAAGGAGATACCAAACGAGCAAAATACGTATTTATATAGCATTAACACACGAACGTCGAAAAAACCTCGCGAAGGCGCTAATATCCAGACGGTCCGTTTATAGTCACAAGTGCGACGTCATTACGACGTCGTTATTTGACGTCAAGCGGGATTACACTTTACGACTATAAACGCACCGTTAGAATGCAACGTCCTCGCAACGTCCTCTTGACGTTCGCGTGTTTGCTGGGGTGGAGCATTTTATTGGAAAAGATATAGCATTAAAAAGATATATTGAAAACCATTGTATTACCTTGTATTACCTTGAACACCGGAGTGTTTCAATTTACTTAAGAGGACGGAGTGATCAACAGATCACTCCGTCCTGTCAACAAAGGCTTTCTCTAAGTCAAGATACACTCCACATGCAAAAAGCTTATTGTCAAAAGCATTTCTAATAGTTTCAATTATTTTTACAAGTGCATGAGTTGCGGAGTGTTTGTTACGAAATCCATACTCATGTTTGTAGATACATTGGTTTTTGCCAAGAAAGCTAAAAAGTCTGTTGTACTTTGCTTTTTCAAATATCTTTCTAATGTTAGATAGAAAAGAAATCGGTGGATAAATTGTGTGGTCCATTAAAAAACCCTTTTATGGATAGCAATTAATTTGCCAATTTTAAAAACATCTAAAAAAAGACCTTTATTAAAAGAATTATTCAATATGGTACAGATAAGCTTGCAATTAACATAAGAAGTAAGTTTATGAAGGTGTGTGGGGATACTATTTGGTCCTCAAATTTTACCATTTTGTAAACTATTTTATATTAAATCAGGCATCTCATTTTCAGTCACTGGATTAAGAAGGTAAGAACTAAAATTAAAATCTTTTAAGTAGTCAGAGAAGATACTTTTAGAAGAAATCATTTTCCTTTTGGGTGGGTGTTGTATTGTTTCATAGTATTTATTAAAAATGTTAGCCACAGCCATACTGTCTGAGATAGTGTTTCCATTAGACTTGAAAATGTAAGATTTATTTGGTGTAGAGGGTTTGATGTTAATAATTTATTTTATTCCTTTTCATGTATTTTTTGTTTTGTTGAGATTTTTATTAAAGTAGGAGATGTAAAATGTTTTTTTGGAAATTCTTAATAAATTTTATCCCTGTACAATAAAATTTATTGAATAGTTAACTTTTTGTGTTGAAATTTTTAGATTTTATATACTTTTTATAGAGATCATTTTTAATTGCAATTGACTTCAGAATTCCATTAGTGATTGAAGGTTTAGATTTGAGTTTAACTTGGTTTTTGGTCAGTTTTTTATTATATATAATAAATACAAAAACAAAGTAGTATACAATAATGTTAATAACAGTTTTAACTTTTTTTATTAAAATACTTTAAAAACATAAACTAAATCATTAAGTTAATGTTTTTAAAGTGTTTTAATAATGTTAAAGCAATATTAATAGTATAAAAGATAAAATTGTTATTAACTAATAATATTCAATAACAATTTTATCTTTTATACTATCAATATTATTTTATATTAATAATTTAGAATTATAATTTTCAAATTAATAAAAAATTAATAATAATTATTAATTTATTGTTTACTACTTTAACTTTGTAGCAATATTCCAAGTGTTAGTTTGTTGTTTGTAATTAGATTTTTTTTTTAATATTTTCATTGTTAATTTTCTGTTTAAGTTTTCATTTATGATGGTAGAGTTGAAAAAAGTAAACAAGAAATAACAAGGCAGAATTAACACTATTTCTTATTGAAAACAAGAGAACTGATATTGAACTGTAAAAAGATTAAAAACTCTAGCTAGTTGCTGTTGTTATATCAGGGAAGTTTAAATTTTCTTAATTGGAATATGAAATTAATGTAAAAATGCTCATAGTTTAGCAAGTTTTGTAACCAGCAAAATAACTGCAACAATTTTTATAGCTTGCAACTAGGTTTTGCAAGTTTTGTGGCTTGAAAATAAGTACAACAAGTTTTTTGACTACCAAACAAGTACCACAACTTTTGTTGCTTGCAAATAAGGTACAGCAAGTTTTGTGGCTTGCAAAGAGGTACCACAAGTTTTGTGACTTGCAAATATAGTACAGCAAGTTTTGTGGCTTACAAAAAGGTATTGGAAGTTTTGTGGCTTCCAAAAGCCCAGACAAGAAATAATTACATTTTTTATTTCAAAAAACTTGTTTTTTTTGTGTGTTTTTTTCTCAGGTTGGAGTGGTTAATCTGTTCCTTTACATGATAATGTATACTCAGATGCATCTTGTAATGTGGTAAAATAGTTTTTTATTTTAATTTCTTTTTCTTTAAAAAAGTATTTTACGACTTCTTTGTTAAATTGTAATTAAAATTTTTTTATTTGGTTCTGACAGAGGAGGGGGATGGCTTGCTCCTCTTTTTATAAAGACAAATTATACACCTTTAGGTGTATAACTTGCCTTTATGAAAAGGGGTGCGTAAAGGCAATTTATACATACTATACTACACTTTTTTATTTCAAAAGGCTTCTTGTTTTCCTGTATTTTTTTTAAGTTGGAGTGGGTAATCAGTCTTTTTACATTACAAAATGGTTACTCTGATGCATTTTGTAATGTGTTAAAATATTTTTTTATACTAATTTCTCTCTGTTTTTTAAAAAAGCATTTTAACATTTTTTTGTGAAATTTACATAATTTTTTTTTTTTCAGGTTCATAGCAGAGGGAGGGGGCATTATACGCCCTCTTCCATCAAAGCAGTCTATACACCACTAGTTACTCTTTGTTATAGTGTTGAAATATATTTTTTGTTTTTTATAACAGATTTAATCATTTTAATAAAGATTGTAATAATTAAAATAATAAAATTTTAATAGGGTGTGTTAAACCTTCCCCAAAACCTAACACCCAACTTTAAGATGGACCTGTAATATTTGCTAGTGATGTGGAATAAATAAATAATAACTTGTTGTATATAAATTTTAATAATTTTATAAAAAAAAACTCTATTTTAAAAAAAAAGTGTATTTTTGAGAGGTGTAGGTGGCGGATTAGCACCACCACTGGATCCCTCCATGCGCCCTTTACCTAGAAACTAGTTTGAAATTATAACCCATTTTTACATCTATCTTTTGATACTAAGTTATAGATATTCGAATAAAATTGGCAAAGTTATAATAATTTATGTAGAAAAATTTTTTTTTTGACCACAGTTTTATCAAGAAATCCATATATTGAAAAATTGCTACTAAAAACGTTATATTTTTTTATAGAATTGTCTAATTTTCATAATTTTTCACATTTAAATTACTGCATTTGAGGGCTTTCCAATTATATATAGCATTCTAGTATTGGATCAATTTAAAAAAGTCAGTCCACCTACCTATTAATATAAATTTTATTTCTCAAACATACTACAAACACTCTAATATGATATATTATATATACTTATAATTTATGAACCAATAATTTTTTATGAATATATAATCTAGAAGCAAGATATTTAAATTAATTTACTTTTAAGAATAGCACTCTAATTCTAATATTCTTTTCTTTCTATTTAAAATCAAATTGTGTGCTCTTGTTCATCTATTAAATTGTCTATTTGTCTGAAACCACACACAAGTTACCTCTTTCAATCTGTAATTTCTTTACTTCTATAAAAATTCTTAAAATTATCTTCCATCTTTTAGCAACCTTAAATTATATATTTTAAATCTTTATTCAGTTAAGTACAGCATAACAAATCACATCACAAACCAATTCATGAAATCATGAAATAATTTATCATTTTTTATTCATAGAATAATTTATTTTTTATATTCACTTTATATCACTAAACTTTACTACTAAAACTCATCTTTATGTCTTTTTATTTTGGAGAAATGTAATTACTGTTCGTAAAATGTTAGGCTTATTGTGGGTCATTGTTATTCCTCTTGGTATGATTATAAGTAATATAAATATCAATATTATTTTACTTCTATTTATATCACTATTACTTATTGTTTTTGTTTAATATTAAATTTAATATTTATCAATATTATTGTTACTATTATTATTGTTATTATTATATTAATATAAATATAATTGTTAACATTACTTACCTTGTTATAATTGTTTTAATACTGTTATTGCTATTATTTTGCAATAATATATATAATAATGCGTTACGGAATGTGAATTTTCGCATGTGCAACTGCCGCAATAACAATTCTATTACGCTAGATAAAGATACGAAATTTTGGCAAGTTTTGTTTTTCGGCGAGCAACCCTAGTTTTTAGGCTTTCTTTCAATGAAGAAAAAGTATATATATATATATATATATATATATATATATATATATATATATATATATATATATATATATATATATATATATATATATATATATATATATATATATATATATATATATAAAATATATATTTTATTTATATATATATATAAATATAATATATATAAATAAAATATATATATATATATATATATATATATATATATATATATATATATATATATATATATATATATATATAATATATATACCTAAATGTATTAAATATATATATATATATATATATATATATATATATATATATATATATATATATATATATATATATATATATATATATATATATATAACAACATATATATATATATATATATACACATATATGTATATATATATATATATAACATGCTTAGGGGCAATATCAGCAGGCATAGTTCAAACTCCTGGTGCTGAAATTAATTCTGTATTCAGCTCATTAAAAAGTCAAACTATATTTTCATTGCCACCATCAGTTGAATTTCTTGGTAATGTTAAAAGTAGTTGCAGTAAGATACTATTGTGGGTTTTTATTTTTTAATATGGTATATTTGCAGTACACCTTTTTCCAATATAATTTTATTCTTTTTATACTTTATGTAAAACTATCAATATGTTGGTGATTTTAATCTACTTAAATTGATTTATTTCTCAGGGAACACATCTTCTCAAGCATCGAGGTCAATTCCAAAAAGATTAAAACTACCTGATGAAACTAAAGAAACAACAAAATGGACGAATACAGAGCTTCAGCGTGTGGTCATGCTGGAGCAGCTAAAATATTATCGGTTAAAAAATTTAAAGTTGAAATACACTACACCCCAACATGTATTAAATGAAGAGGAGATAAATATTGTTTTTAATATAAACGTTGATGGAAATAAAACATAAAAACGGGAAAATAAATTTTGGTTACTGTTAAATGTACAGTAGTTTTAAATTTACTTAAATTAAGTTTTTTTTTACCATGTATTACATTTTCAACATTTAAAAACGTTATACATAGTATTAAAAGAAGGCTGAATTAATTTAAGTTAATAGAAGTATCTTTATACATTTCAGTAACTAAAATCTTCTTTTAAAAATGCCACTTTTTTTTGTTTTATTTCAAGTTAGTTTTTATGTTTCATTTTATTTCTTAAATGTCAGTTATAACTTATTTAAAAATATTTCTTAAATTTATAGCATAATATAATTAAATTACCAAATAATGCATATTTTAATACCCTAATAATAAAGATTTACTACATAAAAATATTATTATATTAAGTCTATAACATATTATAACTGTGAATAAGATATTAAGTCATAAACATATTATAACTGACATTTGAGAAACTTTTGTATGTTTTACTGTGAATAAAATTTGAAAATGTTAGCACATCTTAAAAATTCTTTAAATTAGTTATTTATCTTAGAAAACTTTGAAAGTATATTTTTTATAACATAAACAATACAATAAATTAAAAAATTATGTTGTTTTCAATTTGTTATAAATAAAAAGACGTTGCACTTAATCTAAAAGACATTGTCTCTTTATTTAATATTGCCAATGCACTATAATTTCTACGCTGCTGACCAAGTAAACGAAGTTTCTTCAATTACAGGAACAATTTCTTCCACATTTTTATCCTCGAAAATTGTTAAAGTTTTTGCAATATTGTGCAGTATAAAGTTCGCAGTGACATGTACCAATCATCTTCGGCCTAATTTTTACCTATAAAATTATCACACCGCACATACTGTTGAATCAACAGTAACTGTATAACAACATGGATGCTGAATCCCAAAAAGGACGACGGATATGAAAGGCACAAAAAGATTATTTCTTCCTTGTTTTTGGTTTCCAGGAGTTCTAAAAATATTAATAAGTTTATGGACTACTAATTGGAATAAAATTAAGACTTTTAGGTAAGAGGAACAATAATTTTTTGAACCTGGAGTCTTTGCGTATAATGGCGGCATGGACTCCGGGCTTAAAAACAATAAGTTTCAAGTCATTAAATCTCGCGAATGTTTTACTTATAGCAAATCGTAAGTCAACAAACATGTTTTGAGCTCCTGGAAAAAAGTAGAGGTATAAAGCCGGAATCCATTTGGGACTTCGCATCCCTGCTGTTGATTGAATCAAACACTTTTCTATTATTAAGCTCTTCAGCAAATTCTCCATAGGGTTTATCAATTCTAGCATGGGTGCAATCAATAGCTCCTACTGTACAGGAATAGCCTCTTTCGTTTTCCCATTCCAGTTTTGCTCTTAAAATTTGTTCTTCCGTATGTGGGAAAACTATATACAGAAAAGTCTTAATCAAAATTTTTTGAAGCGTCAAAGAGAAAGTTTTTAAAACAGTATTGCTAAATTTAGATTCCAAAAAAATAAATGTATCAATAACGTGCTAGTATAATTATAAATAAATGCATAACGTAAAAATATATAGATATATACATCAACAGTCAAAAAATAGTAAAATATATAAGTAATATAACAAAATCAAAGCCCGATTATCAAAAAAAAAAAGAAAAAAAAATCAACTATTATAGGTGCTCGTAAATTTAAAAGCAATTGCTCGCCGTTTTTTGAGTTGAAGCTTTTTTATTCACGCGCTTTTCTCATAAGTGAGCAATCGCTAAACATTTGAGCAAAAGCACATGAGTAAAAGCTTTCGCGATAAAAGAGCAATTGCTCAAAATTTTTATTCACGTAAAGTTGAGCAATTACTCCAAAAGCGCTGAGTAAAAGCAATTGCTCTTTTTTATTCACCCGGCCTATTAACTGTTAACAGTTTAAATAATATATAATAAAATTATAAAAAAATGTTGTTTAATGATTCTTTAAGTGTTTATACAAATATATCTAATATATATATATATATATATATATATATATATATATATATATATATATATATATATATATATATATATATATATATATATATATATATATATATATATATATATATATATATATATATATATATATATATATATATATATTAGAGGCTACTTAACAGTGGTTATAATCCTCTCTCAACTCTATAACTCCGAAATACGAACCCTAACAAATAAGGCCGCTGCGCGGAGAAACAAGTTGATATATATATATATATATATATATATATATATATATATATATATATATATATATATATATATATATATATATATATATATATATATATATATATATATATATATATATATATATATATATATATATATATATGAGCTCACGTTTTTTATAGCTGCTATATATATATATATGTTTTTTTATAGCTGGTATATTTGGCGTATATATATATATATATATATATATATATATATATATATATATATATATATATATATATATATATATACATATATATATATATATATACAAGCCGGCGCAATAGGAGGGTGTGGGGTTGTGTGACACTCCCATCCTCCCCCATCAATGATTTTCCGTCTGCAAATTTGATCCTTAGTCGGCAAATTTGACCCTTTTTGGCTAGTTAGTCGGCAAATGTCGACCCTTTTAATATAGGTTAGTCGGTAATTTAGACAGTTAGTTGGTTAATGTTGTCATGGCAGTTGGCAAATTTTCGAAAACGATGACCTTTTTTTTTTTTTTAAGTCAGCACAAGTTATAATGGCACCCCACACACACACACGTGACACCTACTCTCGCCGGCCCTGTATACTATATATTTATATATATATATATATATATATATATATATATATATATATATATGTATATATATATATATATATATATATATATATATATATATATATATATATATATATATATATATATATATATATATATATATATATATATATATATGTATGTATATATATATATATATATATATATATATATATATATATATATATATATATATATATATATATATATATATATATATATATATATATATATATATAATATACAGGGCCGGCGCGAGTAGGTGTCACATGTGTGTGTGTGTGTGGGGTGCCATTGCATATATATATATATATATATATATATATATATATATATATATATATATATATATATATATATATATATATATATATATATATATATATATATATATATATATATATATATATATATATATATATACATATATATATATACATATATACATATATATATATATATATATATATATATATATATGTATATATATATATATATATATATGTACATATATATATATATATATATATATATATATATATATATATATATATATATATATATATATATATACAATATACTGGGCCGGCGCGAGTAGGTGTCACATGTGTGTGTGTGTGTGGGGTGCCATTACATATATATATATATATATATATATATATATATATATATATATATATATATATATATATATATATATATATATATATATATATATATATATATATATATATATATATTTTGTCACATATTTTGTCAAAGGAATAAAGATATACTTTTAAATAGCATCTCTAATATCTTAGAGAATAACAGATCGTAATGATCTATTAATGATCATGTATTGATAAAATGATGATCATTTTATCAACACATGGCTAAAATAGAATCCAAGAATACAAAAATTAGAAAAGCGAATTATTTAAAAAGAAATTTTTAATATTTTTATAATCCAAAAATAAAAAATAATTAAAAAAACAAAAATTCAAGCACATAGATAATTTCTATATTGCTTCATATAATTCGCTATTCATTAAAACTAAAAGTAAAAAGAGCAATTATGTTTATTTTTTAAAATCAAACGAGGTTTTTTCCTTACGCAAGTAAATCTAATTAGTAAAATTCAAAACATGTGAGACAAGGATCGATTCTCTCACCCTACCTATATAACATATACACTGAGAAGCTACTCAAAACTATAAAAAATGATGAAATTGTTGGTATTACTATATATGGGAACTTCACTTTTGTTGTAGCTTATGCTTACGACACCATTCTTCTCAGCTCTACTCTCTCGGGCCTAAAAAAAACTTATTTCAACGTGTAACATATACAACAATTTAAACGGGATAAAACTTAATGCTTTCAAAACGGAACTTTTGCTCTCTGGAAAAAGACAAATAATAAACTCCACAATATCTCTAGACAACCATCAAATTATACTTCGTGAGAAACTTAATCATCTTGGCTTTACCAAGGATACAAAAAAATCAATTTTTGTTTCACTAAATTTAATGAATATTGATGGTAGGTATCAAATTTCCGGGCAACAGAACAAACTCTTATTCAATCTGGAATCCGGTTTGCACATCTAAGTTCTATTATCCAATGATATAAATCATTAGCAGTTCTGACGTTAACCCACGGTCTAGAGATCTGTGAAAATAAAGATGCAACAATGAAAAGATTCGACACATTTAGAAGGAACGCGCTTAAATCAATTTTAAATGTCTTCAAGTATAGTAAAAACTATATACACTCACTATTTAAAAATAAGGAGATGTCAAATTATATACACCAAAACAAAATAAATCTATTTATCCGCCTTTTAAACAATAAAGTAACCTTTGAAATCATTAACTCCCAACTTAACTACTGTTCAGCTAAATTTTTCTTTTTTAAATGATATAAAAGAATTATGTGATAATCATAAACTGGATATGAAAACCTTAATGCTGGTTAAAAAAAAAGTAAAACTTAAAGTCTTAGAGAATGTAATTCCTGAAGCTACTCTTCATGTTTTGGTACACGCGGTATCAATGTTGGAATGTAAAAGAACAGCGAATCTAGTATTAGTATTATATATATATATATATATATATATATATATATATACACACACTCTTCAATATTATACAAACTCTATATACCTCTTTCAAAAGATCAATTTCTATGACAAGGAAATTTGGATAACCATGCGGTGGTTCTTGAATCACTGTATATGTTGGAGGAGTAAGATTTGCTTTTAAAGAAAACTTCTTTGTTGACACTTCTGATATGGAAAATTTTTGCTGTGCTAAATAATGCAAATAATTTCAAAAACAAAAAAGAAATTTTATTAAAAAAAACAAGAACTATTTAAAGTAAAGTATATTAGGATTTGTGTGCTTACTTTTAAAACTTAAAACCAATTAGAACAGCAAAGTCTACATATACATAGTGACTCGAAGACTTTATATACATGTTGCTGGAAATTACTGGCTTTCACTCATACTCACGTTCTTTAAAACCTGTTTACATGGGCTCAAGTCCTTACAAAACAGATAATTCTCAGATGCAAATTAGATAAGACAGGGAAAATATTAGCAATGTAATCAGACATTACTTCATAAAAAATGGAATAGTGCCATTATGAAATTCTTTGCCTGAAGAAGCTTTCAACGCAAAATCTTCGAAGTAATTTTTAAAAATTTATGATACAATACATAAGTGACAAATTACACACATTTATGAAAGCTTTCATTAATATTTGAAAAGGGTATCAAAGTGTGCGACTCACACTTGCTGGTGACTACCAGTTTCAGTTTAAACTATAGTAACATAAATACTTGATTATAGTATTAGTATATCTCTACTCAATATATACCATGCAATTTTTAGATTACATCTTAGGCATGCTTGTCAGATTTGGGGACAATGTAATGAAAAAAATACCTAACGCTTTTTTAAAATTATGTTACCTCAAAACAAAGCTTCAAAGATAATATTCTTTTAATAATATCATTCTAACTCTGATATCCTTTACTTTCTATCAAAACTACTCAAATTATGTGATCTTGTTTATCTATTAAATTGTTTATTTGTCTGAAATCATAAACATGTAAATCTCCCTTCATCATTCTCCAATTTTTTTACCACTTAAAAAAAATCTCGTTATTATCTTTTAGTAACTTTAAATTATCTATCGCAAATCGCTGTTCGGTAAAATACGGTGAAAATTCTTTACAAAATAATGCGTAAAATGGTGGAATAATTTATTTTTTCATTTTCAATAACTCAGCTCTATTTCACAATGTAAAAGCCGTCTTTTTGACTATTTGATAGAAAATACTCTAATTAAAATTTAGGCTTATAATGGATTATTATTACTATTGTTATTAGTCTTATTATTATATGTGATGCTAATATGACATTTTATTTACATTTTTATTACCGTCATTATTACTTGTTAAAATTGTTTAATATTTATATGTGGTTTTAGCTAATATTATTATTATTGTTATTGTTATTATTATTATTATTGTTGTTGTTATTATAATTACTAATCTAATCATTATTATAGTCATTATTATATTTAATATTATTATTGTTATTATTATAATCCTCTTCGTTTAGTTTACTTTATTATTATCATATGATTGCTTTCATTATTTAATTTGGTGTTTACCTTAGATTAGTACTCGTATTATTAGTAAACAACCATGAAGTGTAAACTTTTATTTCAGAATCTTTAAAATCATTTTCTTGTTATACAGATATTTATGTTTAATGAGTTTGATTAATTAGACTGCATATAAACTTTTTGTTTTAAATATATTTTGATGTTAATATATATTTACAATATTTCGCTGACCTATAGCGGTCAACATCGTCAGATGGAATAAAAAACGTTACAAAAATTGTTACAAAAAAGTTACATTACAAGCGTAAAATAAAAATAGTTTTTACAAAATAATATAATATTATATTATAATGGCGTCAGTTAAAATTTTTGACCAAAATAATCTCCAAGTTCTTTTGTTTTTATTAATTATATTTTCCCCTTTAAATTTTCTATTCTTTTTTGAGGAAGATTTTTTGTTTGCATTTCGTATCTTCAAGTTTTTTGGATTTTTCTTCGTGCTTTTATGAATCTTTTCGCCGTAAAGAGCATATATTACATCAAAATATATTTAAAACAAAAAGTTTATACGCTGGCTTAATCAAACTCATTAAACTTAAATATCTGTGTAACAAGAAAATTATTTTAAAAGATTTTATTACTGCTCTTTATGGCGAAGAGATTCACAAAAAAACAAAGAAAAATCCAAAAATATAAAAAATGCGAGATATAAATTCATGTATATTTGCCTATATACATATACACATAAGCGCACATACTTGCATATATATACATTCATATGCATACACATGTATACCTACATACATACATACTATATACTATATACATACATATGCATACACATATATACATACATAATATAAAAACACATGCATATATATACAAATACATCCACACATACATATACATACACACATACACATGCACTTATACATACAGACATACATACACATATACACATACCCATACATACATATACACATACATGCATACACACATATACGAATTTTTTTATTGCTATTGTTATTGTTAGACTTGCTGAAATCTGTTTATTAGACTTGCTTTGAGAAAGTCTAATGAACAGCTTTCAAGTCTAGAATATTCTTCAATTACTTTGTATTTTTTTCAAACTTCTTTACAAAGTTGTGCTTTTTATTTTCTTTTTTTTTTTTTTTTTTTTCTTATTATGTATAAGTGTGTGTGTTTATAGATAAATTAGTTACTTAGTTATATAACAAATGCGCCTTCTTCTTGTCCTTTCTATCTTTACATATTTTAATACACAAAACTTATAAGTATTATGTTATCGGCTAAACAAGCAAATTACAAAAAAAAAAGTAGTGGTTGAAAAACAGATATTTATCTGTGTTTCTGCGATGTGACATTCACTTGTTAGAAATAATTTTTTATTTATAAATTAAAATTCTTCTAGGGTAATGTAGAACTATTCTAAAGTTTCACATTGCAGGAACATGGTATAATATGGCTGGGTGTTGTTATATGAACCGCTATTATATGCATATCTGTTCTTTTTTTTTTTATAATGAAAACAAGTCAATATGAGAATATTTTAAGTAGATTTTGCTATGAATGTGTACAATATATTGGAAAAAAACAGCTTTAAAATAGGGTTGTGAAAGATGCCACATTATCGGTAAAATACTCGAAATATTTTAAAATGGCCAAGGGTAATCAAGACAAACCATATGGTATATGAAACCTGCCAAAGTAATTTAGCAGGGTAGTTATAAAGTAGAAAAAAGATAATGCATTTTGCCATCTACAGAGTAATGAGAGTCAAAGAACCATCACGTTGACTGTTGAAGCTTTACAAGAAGTTTGTCTCACGTTTTCAAAACTATCTGAGGCAAAGGAAAATGTGATTAAAAGAATATTTGTTAAAATTTATTTACATATTTCAATGGCGGCACTTCAACAAAAATTGCTTGTAAATAAACAAAATGTAGACGTCAGAGTAACTCGAAAGAGCAATGACAAAAATTGAAAAAGAAATGTAGTTTGTAATTCATGAAGACGTTCATGGATTCCTAAGAAACTTCAAAAATCCTTTTTATAAATAACTTGTTACAATACGTAATGAAAACTTAAAAAAAAAGTTATAGCATACAAAAATAATTAAAATCGTAAAAAAAAGTTAGATATAAATAGGAAAGTTACATTCACATGTTTAACTGATGTTTGTATTAAAGCAGTATTTACGCTTTTTTTTTTCTTGACTTTTTGCAACGTTTCATAAGCTCTAAAGTCTTAGCATAGTTTCAGCAAAAGTTTATTTTTATGTTTATAACAACTCAGTACTCCAAATTAAGGAAATTTTCTTACAACTTGATTTAAATGACAATAGTTATGTATATTAAATATATACTACTATTGTCATTGAAATCAAGTTAATTTTTTTTTTTAATTTTAACTATTTTTAAATTACTTATTAAAATTATTATTTATAAATTCTAACTGATTTAAATAAGTATTTATATAGCCTAATTTGGCCAATTCACTTTATAAATGGATAGACTACTACTACTACTACTACTACTACTACTACTACTACTACTACTACTACTACTACTACTACTACTACTACTACTACTACTACTACTACTACTACTACTACTACTACTACTACTACTACTACTACTACTACTACTACTACTACTACTACTACTAATAATAATAATAATAATTCTTTACAGAAAATGAAAGTTTTCTATTTTAAGTTCGTTCTACCACAATATGAAATAATCATTATCATCAAACACAATCGCTATTGCACCGGACGCATTCGGTACGAACTTTACCGGTTTAGCAAAACAAAAGATATAATATTGCAATCTTCTCTAACGCATAAATACATCATAATATAATATCATTAATACATATAATATAGTTTTTCCAAAACCCTTAAAAAACACATTTTATCAGTATACAAAAAGAAAAAAAAATTTGCATATAAATACATTTTTTTGACTATAAAATAATATAAAATTCTCTGATAAAAATAATTTAAATTTTTAATAAATACGATAAGCCTATAATAATTAATTTAAATGTCAACTTTGTTTCAATTTTAATGATTTTGATTGCACGTTTACTCGACACATAAGTTTTAAATAATTAGTATATTTGTAAACATTGTCTTTAAAAGATATTTGTTAAACTTTTATCTCAGTGTTGAAAGTGAGCATCTTGAAGATATTTGTCTCGATACACATTTTTCACAAACTACTGTACAACACCAGCGAAATTTACAGTTGCATTGCATATTTTCAATCGTCTTTACAAACGAATGTTTTCTGTAACCACAACTGGAACATAATTTTTTACAACTGTCATCTAGATGATGGTTACATTCTCTATTAAGAGTTCCTTGTACTTCTATTGAAGAATTCTTTTTGCAATAGTCAGGCGACTCCGTTAAGTAAACAAGTACTGAGCTGTTTGGAACATCTTTAGAGATAAAATTTTTCATAACATTGGTGCTCTGTGTACTGGGATCCGATTGTTGGTGTTGTTCTTCGTACTTTTTTGCGCCATGGTAAAGCGTCATTAATTCGACGGCTGTTTCTTTTAAAGAAGAAAGTGAAGATTTCCAGCATGTTTTACTTGAACAATAGCCGGAGAGTCCGTGGCATTTACAAACAGTTGTTAAACGCTCGGTAAATGCCTTTAAGCCAATTACAGAATTATTCCAGTTAAATGCTTTTCTTTTCTCATCTCTCACATACTTGTAATCGAATATTTTAATAATACGCTTGACTAACTTTAAAGCATTGCTTATATTTACTGAAAACGATTCGTCTTGATTGCTTTGCGTACCATTTATAGAGTGTTTGACACAAGTCAAATCTTGATAAACTCCTTGTCGACAATTGCGAACAATACGATTTAAGATGCTTGCTGCAACAATAGCATAAACATAAGCAGTTTCTTTAGTTGCTAAAAAAAAAATTATGAATATATATATAAATATATATATATATATATATATATATATATATATATATATATATATATATATATATATATATATATATATATATATATATATATATATATATATATATATATATATATATATATATATATATATATATAACGTCTCCTTATATATATATATATATATATATATATATATATATATATATATATATATATATATATATATATATATATATATATATATATATATATATATATATATATATATATATATATATATATATATATATATATATATATATATATATATATATATATATATATCCCGTAAGAAACATTTTTTTACTTTATTTATACTCTTTTTTTCATCTATATTTCTGTTGTTTTTTTTATATTTTTTTATTTTTGTCTATTTTTATTTTTACATATTTATTATTACTATTTATTTCTATTTTTATTATTTTTATTTAATTATTATATATTATACCTCATATTTTAATTCATTTGTTTAGAAAAATGAGTATATACAAAAATATAACAATATTTATAAATATTAAAAACAAAACGCTGTCCCTACCCACATGGTGTATGCACTACTATTGCACGTTCTACCTATTTGCCAGTCGATATACTTTTCACTTTTCATACAAGCTGCTTAGAAGGATTTTTATTCGCAAAAAGACGTACATAACGAAAAAAACTTATAATCGGGTACAGAAAGTATATGCATATATATTTTGTTATTGATGTGCTCCAAGAACGCATAACGCTTGTGTCACAGAACACCGTAGAAGTACATTTATTTGAAAAGTTCGCGCCTCTTTACCATTGTCCCTTATCTGGCCAGAGCCGGCATTGAATTTCTTAGTTCTGAGCCTAAAAACTAGTCTTTGCGCTACAGCTGCTATAAATTTATACTTCATGCATATTAATTAGGGCTTTTACAATAATAAAATTGACATTCTTCCATTTAGAAAAGACATTTTAGTAAAATAAATACACGAATGAATAACTAGTACTAAAAACTTGTTCCGTTATAAGTTAGTTCTCAAAGTTGTTATGTCTAAAGATGGCACTATTGAGAATTTTTATTGAAACAAACTTACCATGAGGGTATGTATATGTGAGTGATACAGGAGTATTAATGTGGGAGAACGCTTGAGGAACCGGGCAGTTCCATCTTTCATACTTGAAGTTTTTATAACAGTTTTTAAAAGCATCTTTGTAGGCTGAGATTACCGAGTTAACCACATCCGGAGAGACTTTTTTTGAGGTAACCTAAAAGTAATTGTTTGTTAATGATTTATATTAAATAATCAAAATTATTATTATCATTTATTATAATAAATTTTGATAGCAATAATAACATTATATAACGTTTTAGAACGATTTTTTTTCCTTGTTGTTGTATTACTGTATTTTTTTTATTATTATTATTATTATTATTTGAAATAATATAGACAAATAATAAAAGCAATATAAATATATTTACATGCAATTTTCGTTGAAGTGCCGCCATTGAACTATGGAAATAAATTTTAAACAATAAATTAAGTTAAAAATAAAAATTTAAAAACTTTAAAATATATCAAGAAAAAAAATAATAAGGAAAAAGTATAACCTGCTTAAAATCAATAAAAACAAGTATTGCTTGGTTGCTCTGTATCTTTTTCGAAAAACTCTATCCATTTTGCATTGATTTTAAAATCTGTAAGAAATAAAATGTTTTTGAATGAGATAATTTATCTAGCTTGCTAATATGAAACCAAGGAAATTAATTGATTGTCTTACTTTAGCTTCTTTTATAGATTAAAAAGCATAACTTTTGTATAATTATAAATAATATAAAATTGAACAGGAAGTATTTATTAGGTGTTAAATGTGAAGATTATTTTTAACGGTAATTACTAATATTCAAAGTGGTAATCAATAGGGTTTCACAAGTTTAGTAATAATGAAATGTTCACAAGTTTAGTAATAATGAAATTCTTAATAAAAGATAATTCTTTGAAAGAAATTAGTATGCTGTTAGCTATAAAACTCTTTTTTTAAAAAAAAAAATAAAAATGTAAACTATTTTAAAATTGCGAACAATTATTGCATTTTAAAATGTTATTTTTAGAAATTAAATAAACTTTGTATTTTTCCCATAATAACTGAAGATATTTATAAACGTTATTTTAACCGACATCAATAATCCTTAATAAATCGAGTTGTGATACCTGCATTCATGTATACTTTCATTGAGTGTCACTAAAATCAATCGATTTATCAAATAAGATTTATTAATTTGCATAAAATTATTTTTTGCTAAAAAAGCGATTTTAAGGAATTGCGTAGTGCTACAGCAAAAAAATGGCACATTCAAAATCTTCTAATTAAAGTAATTATATAGCTAAAATGAACGCTATTATTCATTATAATTCAAGTTTCTTTCAAACAAA